TTAAGAGATCATGTGTGAACAGGACCTTTTCAAAAATCCCAATAAATTCGTTCTGGCAATCATATCGTTCTTATGGAGATGGCTTGATTACTCTGAGCTGTTTACAAAGCTCCGCTGCTTTTTAAATAGCTTTTCTATGTAAATATGACGCTAGATGGAAATCTTTGACCATTGCGCTTCGCAGCTTTTTCAATGCGTCACGCTCGAGACCCAGGCTTCTTTTCCACTCATCAGCTGCGACTCTGCAATTGGATACTATTATGCGCATCTCGTGTTTATATAAGAGCAAAAACTTCTGATTGGTTAGTACTGTTAGTTTGGTTGAGAGTGAAAGCGGTGTTCCTCTCACACATTGGTAGGCGAACTCATGAACTCGAACGTGATATCAACAAGTGTTTTTAAATGTAGGACGACTATCTTTTTTTTTTTTCCCCGCAGCCAAACGCCGCAGATCCGGCACGGTGCCGGAGAACTTTAAACCCTGCAAATTATACATATATAATTATAAAAAAATAATTAAAACAATTGGTGAAACATAATTGTTTAATTTACAAGTCAGCTGGTCAAAATAACAATGCAGCAGTATTTGCTGTCACTATCAGAAAATATATCCACAAACAATTTAGGGTATATCCAGTAGTGTTACTAAAGATTATGAATTTCATAATGTGAAGTTTAATATTATTTAATATTATAATTGATCTATTTCTGTTTTTAACAGGGGACCAAAGGTTTCTTTCCCCCTCTTCAGAACCAAAGGGAAATGAGCTTCTGAAAAGGTGAGGTCAATAAACCCTTATTGACAGTGTGAAAAGTCAGTCAATTGAGTAACATACCATTTAATTTTTCTTCCATGTAAAGTTCCGAAGACTCAAAAGTCCAACAAGCCCCACTGAGCAGAGAGCAGCTGACCAGCAGTCTCGTGTCTGATAAAGTTCTAAGGAGCAGTGATGAAGTGGATGTGGATACTGTAGATATTGATGGCTAATGTTGTAATCATGGCTAATCTGTCATCATGGATCTGTTTTTTGTTTGTTTTGTATTTACTGGTAAAGGACAACATTTGCACTACATAATGTCCTGTATAAATTGTGCCATTTAAAATGATAATAATCATGATCAGATTCAGATCTAATAAGGCGGTGCTGAAATATCTGTAAAGAATGTAAATTCATGGTGCATTGCTATTGATGAAATTTTTGCACAGCCTATGTGGGCTTAAAAAGACAGAATGATGCACTTTCAAATCTTGATGTGTAAAACACTCATTTACTGCTAATTGTGGCGCAAAAAGAAAAATATTGCAATTTGACCAATCTTTTTAAATATTTGTTGCCGTGTACTTTTAGACCACACATATATTCATTTTGTTGTGCATTGCTGAATCATAATGTGGTTTATTCAGGTATTCAAATAAGCTACACCTGTGTTGTAAATTGAGGAGAAGCAGCTGTATTTTTTTTAAATTTTATTTGATACTTTGTCACAGCTATTATGTTTATGCCTTCTACTTGTAAAATTAAAACAGGTTGCTCCATAATTATTTCAAATTAATTTGACTTGCAGAAATGTATAAATTAACTTTAATTAAAGAGCAATAACATCCTGCAGCGAATGTGTGACTTTTGTCTTAATACTTTATTTAACTCTTTAAAACAGAAGAAAAAGTTCATTTTTACAATAATAAAAGTACATTGTTAGGAAGCACTTCTATAGAAATAATACAAACGTGATTTGTTGAAAACATTTAGCTGGACTAAAGCCTAAAGGTTTAGAACAAACGAGGCAAACAAATATTTACAAATACATTATAATTTAGAAACACTTCTCACACAGACAGTAAAATGTCAGAGTCTAATTACTGCATTATTTCATATTAATGTGACCCTCAAACACATAAGGCAAGTCGACAGAGCTCCATGAGAAAGAAGCCATCCATGAAATCAAGCTGAAATCACTTTGGTGAATCTCTGGAATGTCTTATTGGCCAATTCTGTGCATAAAAATATTGAAATATTTATAAACGTAGTGCACATTCAATATTTCAAGTGTACCGGTTTGGTTCCAGTGTAGTTGCTTAAAACCTACAGTGCAGCTACATTTGTTTCAGAAAGCTGGTTGTGTATTGATGTCAGACTGACAGATAGACTGGGCCAGCACGATGTGTCTTGCTAAACAGACCCTCGTCAGACTGCTGGTTTACTGTCTGGTATCCAGCGGCTGGGGGAGCGTATCTGTACACTCAAGCCTTGGTTAGCTGAACCAGCCGACATCAGTACTGGAGAGCAGGATTGGTCCACTTCCTGTTCTACACACTAGCAGATGGTAGCCTTACTTGTATTGTGTGGTGGTGGCTGTCATTCAAAATCATCCTCGTATTCATATTCATCCAGGTCCAGGTTACAGTGAGGGTTGGGGATCTCAAAGAGATGTCTCTTCTCATTCCGCAGGTCAAAAGCACATGTAATGTGATCAATTGGGTCTAGAACATTGTCACAGCTGAAAAGAAAGCAAAAAATTGTACATTGAATTAAAATGACAAGATGTATTTCACCCAGCCCTTTCAGTTTGAAAGTTTTGCAACAGACTTATTCAATTATATCATTCACAATAGTTGGGAAGAGCAGTTCATACCTTTATAATGGAATTTATAACATACACAGTCCTGTACTTTGATTGGATGCTTAAAATGTAATGAAAATTGGAGAGAGGATATTCATATGGAGAAACTAGACATGGGGAAAAAACTTCTAGAACCAACTGGAGGGCAAAAGAGTTAAGGAACTGACATGTAAACGCATGCCATTGAAAAGACACCTGACAAAACTGGAGTTTGCTGAAACTGTAAAACATACTTTAATCCGTTATGTGAAGATTTAAACAGTGACCAGGTGAAGCCATGAGGAACAGAAGTGGGGGAGAACAGAAGGAACCTCAACCCCGCACCTACAGCGTCATACCTGTTTCAACTCTACTCATCCTGTCATTAGAAGTCTGTGCTGATCCTAAAAGCGTCACATAATACCTCATCAGCCCTCTGATCACTGATTTAGTGCAGTGACAATGCAGCAAATGACGAAAGTGGACTGATGTTATTAAAACTGCTGCATGAGGTGATGTCCTGTACAGTTTAGAGAGGCTGCTCGCAGCTGAAGTTCAGTGTTGTTAGCTCATCTATGATGCTGCACAGTGATAATATTGTTGTCTGTGGGCAGTTCAACTGTGAGAAACGCAGTCTTACCAATCGTTGTACGGCTCGTTTGCAGTTTCCTCAGCTACCAAGTTATCATACTCCTCTGCAGCATATCTCTCCCAGTCAGAAATCTCCTGTCCCATTGTCTCAGCATCCTATAAATTTACAAATGCAGAACAGCAATAGTATTAAATCATCAAAGTGACCAAAACAACCATACAATTATATAAACCATGTTATTCTTTACCCTTGCAGCAAGTAAGGGATCCCTCTGTTCGTGGTCTAGGTACTTCTCAACGTTGAAGAAGGTGTCAAAGAAAATATGGGAAAGTTTACATCTCTTCAAGTCCCTGAGAGTGATTTTTCCTGACAAAAAATAAAGCAAACACGTCGCAAGTAATTTTACGGTTTTGCTCACTTTAGCTAGGATGTGTGACTACTTCAGAATGATGACAGACGAGCATGCAAAGTCTAGGAAATTCAATCTAACACATTAAGTTATTCATCATTTCAAACAATACCTGGGATTTCTGGCTTAACCATATCTAACATTTGGCACAGGCTAACACGTCGCAAGTAATTTTCAGGTTTTGCTCACTTGTGTGACTACTTCAGAATGATGACAGACGAGCATGCAAAGTCTAGGAAATTCAATCTAACACATTAAGTTATTCATCATTTCAAACAATACCTGGGATTTCTGGCTTAACCATATCTAACATTTGGCACAGGCTGTCCTCGAAAGGCAGTGGTTCAATGGCCATGGCCTCAAGCTTCTGAGACTGCTCCTGGTAGAAGTACTCCAGCTCATACATGGACAGAACTCCATCCCCATCCAGATCCATACAGCGAAACCAGTACTCTATGCTACACAATCAACAAGCAGATTATGTAAATAATACTGTAAATGTAACTAAAATGATATTCATTCAAAGTTGGTTTAATTTTGTTTTTATAGCCTTGGATTTTTACATATATTTAATGTTCAATTTTTTTGGGAAATTGTTTTATCAGATTAATCAAAGAAAGAATTGATTAATTATCAAGAAAGCTGATAGTTGCAGTCCTATCATTTTGAAAAAAAAAAGCAATAAATCTATAAGCAATAAAAAAAGAGAGGTCATTTCAGTTACCTGGTCTCAGTCTTTTTGTCCTCCTCAGATATGAGGAACCATACGAAGTCAGTGTAGCTCAGTCTGCCCTCTTTGTGAACCTTTCTGTCCCTGAGCATCAGAGTATAATTTAACCACAGCACTCACAAAATCTATAATAATGCGACACATGACAAGCAAGCTTTCAAAAATTGGAGAGAAACAAAAGAATGTCTGAAAAATGAGAGATGGTACCTGGTTACAGCTCCTGAGAATAATCTCTCAATCATTCGGTGGGATATGGCTGTCAAAGAGAGCAGAAAAATCACATCACAGTCTTCTCCTTTATTCATAGAAAACGCTTAAACTTGGTAATAATTCGCTGTCAAAGGTTGTAAATATTGTAAATTGCAACCGCAAGACATAGTGATTTAATATCCTTATTTTATCATTTTAAAAGTCACAACGATTATTGGCCCTGCCTGAAAGGAGATAAAATGATTAGAGTGCCAGACATGCCGTCATACTAGAGGAAATTGATGTTAAAATTTCACCGCACTTCGTTCAATTTACTAAACTCATTCTGCAGCAAACAGAAACATATGCAGTCAAGTGCTGCTAGAGGGGATATTTAACGTCACCTCCAGCAATAAGCAGCCAATCGATAAACAGCATGTCAGAAGAGTGTGATGGTCTTAAGGGCGCAGCGGGTGGATGGGTACCTTGTTCATTATGTTGCATCAGGTCTCTCTGGTCTATGTACAAGTCGTGATCCGTGTCCAGCTCCCAGAACTTACAGTAGATGACATAGAAATGTTCATAAGAGAAGAACTCTGTCAACTGGTTAATCTCTTCCTCTTCTTCCAGAAGTGCCACATTCTGTTGGGAAACATTTTCACCATTACACAACGGAAAAGCTTAGTCATCTAAATTGTAGATTGGCCAGCCTGATTTTAGAAAAATCAGCAGTAGAAATTCCAAAACAACTTTATTTTCAACAAAATCATATTACTTAAAACCTACAATAATAATAATAAAAATACTACTACTAAATCAGCAATTAATATAAAATAACATGAATGTGGGCTTGGTTAAAATACTGTATATTTAGCATACACTTTTATTTTCTGTTACACTGGTTAGAATTACATTTATTAATTAGCATAAAAATAAATTGACAAATGTCCACTGCAGTCCTAGATATAGACTCATAACATATTTACCTGTAGAAAACTACTTCTCCCGAGTTCTGTACATGTTATTTTTCCAGTCCATGAGCGGTTTACATTATAAAATATCCTTTGGACTACCTGTTGGCAGAAAAAGCGACTTGTTGAACATCAGGTTGATTGAAGCAATTCAACAAGACTGTGCTGATCTGTAAACTGTCCAGACTTATGGTGCACCAAAAAAATAACAGTGTATATATACACAGTCTGTTCAGGTTATTTGAGGTTTTAGTTAATGGTGCAAATCCATGCTTAATATACAAAAAACATTTGAATTACTAGAAAAATACACAACTGGAAGTATTCCTTACAGTGGTAATGTAGCGTGAGTGAAAGTCTGAAGCCTCCTTTAGAAATGCCAGACCTGTATGTGAATCCACCACATCCTTAAAAAAAAAGGTATAGAAATGATTCACACACCAATATAACATCAAAGTCAGCATATAATAACTGACACGGCTTACAAGAGAAGAAAAAAACAGCAATGTTAAATCCATTTGTGTGCAAAGAGGCTCTGGATTAGATTACAGAGAAAAGGCGAATCATTTTAGTCTGTCCACTTGCAGAGGCTAATGCGTTGGTACAAGATGTGTGGAAATGTTAAAGGTATTAAACTTCTAAGAACAAAGGGGTGATTTTAAGGCCAAGTCCAGTTTTTAGCTTGTGCATCAGTTTCAGCCAGTCTCACTCTCTGCATACATATGGCCTGCTGGCTTTTCCATCTAGCGCATTCTTCAGCAGAGAAACAAAGATTTTACTCATGCATGTTTCACAGTCAAATACTGGTATATATATATGAGTAAAAGGCGATAAATTACGACAACTTATTTTGGGGGGAGGTGTGGGACTCTTTGACCCTTCCCCATGTGAAATTAAACAGTAGAAAAACACATAAATCATTGTTGTAAAGGAGCAGACGGGAACAGGCCAATCTACTCCATAACAATACTTTTTTCATTCATCAAAACGGTCAAAGCAATTGCTAAAGCTGCACAATACAAATTAAAGTGCGGACGCCAGAATACATCTCCAGTGTGCACGGCCAATCCTGTCAGTGAATATAAATGACATGTCCATCACTGAACTCAAAGAATGCACTTCTGCACACAATTATTTCATAACGTTAAGCATCACATTTGGAATTTTGCAAGTACATAAAAAAAGGAATGAGAGCAAATAATATAATGCTGAAATCATCAATGCTCAGTGCATTTTGACCTGTGTGTGTCTGTGTTCTCAGTGGTAGGTCTCTATTCCAGAACTCTGTACCTGCAGGAATGGAATAAAGTCCTCTTGTTCCAAATAATTGCAGCCAGGCTTGGCCAGAAGGTGAAGAAATTTGGATGCGTCATCATGACAGGTCTGAAGCACTCTGTGGGGAGGAAACAGATGGTTTCAGGCTCCCTCTCACCCTTTCAAAGAGCAATATGGTCTCCAAAACCCTTCACTTCAAATATATGTCTTCGGATTATTGGAATCTACAAATGAGGCTCCAGAATTCACGCTCAGCCAATTCTGACATGCAATGACGGAAGAATAATGATTTAAAACAAGAGTTTTCAACCTTTACAGATTCATGGACCGCCCACCCAGCTGCTCAGCCAAAACACTAATCTCATAAAAAATATGAACGTAAATGTTTTTCTAGACATGGTACATTAATGATATAGAACAGTTGTGGCAAACGTCGGTCCTGGAGAGCCGCAGCTCTGCAGAGTTTTGCTTCAGCCCTAATCAAATACACCTGAACGAGCTAATCAAGGTCTGAACGGTTACTAGGAAGCTGCAGGCAGGTGAGTTTTAATTAGGGTTGGAGCTGAACTCTGCAGGGCTGCGGCACTCCAGGACCGGAGTTTGCCACCCCTGATATAGAAGATATATCATATAGGCATGTGTTTTTTTCATTAAATTATATTTTAAGGAAATTGTAGTGTATATCACAATTTTCACATCCCCTCAGTTAAAAACTTGAATGAGTTTTTGACAAGACAGCCACAGACAAAAATAAAAAATAAAGAAATCATAAAGCAATGCAGGGACACCTAAAATAAACAGCAGTATCATTGTACAAAATAATATCACCAAAATCGTACACATAGAGATCACTGTACTTCAGCTCTTGATAAGAGGACATTCACACACTTGTTAAAAAGCACCATGTGCAGCCATTGACCCCTGCCGATATTAATATGAGAGGGCACTGTGAAGAGAACTATTGTCTTACTTTCGCCACATTGCCACAAACTTGTGAACGGACACATATCCCCTCCTGTCTCCTCCGGCAGCATGGAACAATGGAGCTTTCCAATAGAGTGGGCACTCACAGGCCTGCAGGGAGACAAAAGTGTCACACAGAAATAGATTGTTACTGCAATGTCAGGATGACAAAATAGATCAAGACGTAATGAATTTCAAACTGCCAACAATAAGCGCCAAACAGACCGCAAAGTTTTGAGATCTGAATGTTACAGTAGAGTTCAAAAATAAAATGCAACACTATAACCTTTCTCTCATAAACGGGCAATTGAGCTCAATCAGAGGTTTCTGTTAAGTGCTTGGACATTATGACTACATTTCACATGTGCTGTAGAAACTATAAATGGGGCTAATTAGCAATGATTATGTTTATAAATCATTTTGTTTAAATTCCTGAATCCCGTCGTTTACCTAGACGGGTTCTATTCAGGATAAGTAATTCAACATATAAACAGTGGTGATATTTTTCCACTGGCTACAGGAAAAGTAAAACCTTCAAACTTGTAAACAGTTATACGTTAGTTACACAAAATGAACAATTTGACGAACGGATAAAGGTGGCACGTTACAAACCACACTTACCTTTGCAACCAGCCCCATATCTTTTAAAGTGACTCTTTCATCAGGAAATTGAGAAAATGTTTTTTCTATCTTGGAAATAAGATTGTCTATGTTGATATTGGCCTGGGGCTGTCCTCGAGGGAAGTAGAACTTTGGAATGCTTTCACTTAAAGCTGGTGTAACGGACTCCTCTTTCTTAGCCTGTGCCTGCTGAAAAAGACAGAAATAATAACCATTAGCCACAAGACTCATCGTGGGAGAGATATACGGTTGCTCTGAAAATTTCACCTCAATCAGCATTTCACAGTGATGGCTTAATTAAGTCGCCTCAGAGTGCGTAAAACACACAGTTTAAAACAATTTTGACAGACGCACACCCTTGTGGATGACTTTAAGGAGAAGGCTTGCAATATTTTTAGGATTTTTGTTCCATGTGATGACATGAAGGATAAGAAAATTTAACGTGGATAATGGTTTGAAACATGAGTTGACTCATTCATGACAACTAAATACAAAATAAGGGTAAGACCTTTTCGTTTAGCATTTTAAATGTGTTCTCCTTGACCTTTGTTACATTTCCTTAAAAGAAAAAAAAAAAAAAAAAACTCTTCCACCTTTTGACAGAAAAAAGGTCTAGTACATAATGTACATAAACAACTATGACTTTTGGCTGAGTCTGGATGAAGTTAAACGGGAATCTCTCTACAGTGTGATAACCAGTGCTAAGCTGTTGTCCTTGTGTCAAATCTATTTACTATCACGTTATGAAAAGAACAGTTTTAAACCGTTACAAAACTGATAACAACTTGTGATGGACTGCAGGTTCAGTCTTGCAAACATTACTGTTGGAAACAGATTAACTTGGTATGGTAAACAACATCAGAAATAAACTATTGGACTGGTTATACATTCGACAATCAAGTATTTAGTAACACTGACTAAAAAAATAATACATTTAAAGCATGTATAAAGAGTTTATAAAAAAGAAGAGGAACAATCAGAGGCAAATGTTGATGTTGACTTGACAAAACCTTGCCTGAAATGTTCAAGAACTAAGAAAAAAAAAATTGAAATTTGCAGAACAGGCTTTATGACCCAGAGTTGGGTGGATGAAAACTCTATGAAGAGCAACATTTAAAAACATTGGTGGGGATTTTGAGAAAACGTGACAATTGTGCACAACAACAGTATGATGGCTTTATCAAATGACAAAACGTCCTTCATGCCCAAATTTGTGAACACTTGTGGTTAAATTCCTCTTATTACTGATTTTACAAAGGCTCAGCTTTCCACAGTAACTTAAAACCTCAACTATTTGAGTGTCAGGCTGCAGCTGTGAAGATCTTGACCCCCTAGAACTTCCACACAGGGGAAAAAAACTCCAAAGCCCACTCTCTAGAATAAGCAACATTACACTGAACAAGATCCATTTGGCTTTTCTGTATTAGACAATCACATGGACATGTATGCTCCAGCCAACCTGACCTTCTGTGCTGCCGTGTTATCCTGAGAGATGTAAATATTTTAGGTGGCAAATATTTGGTTACTGTGATATGGAAGCAGATATTCATAACCTTCACTGTCATACTTCATTCTGGCATAAAAAAAAGAATGATCCCATTTGTGATCCCAGTTTTAATATGCCATTTATTCCAAATCCATTATTAACCTCTTAGTCCACAAAACTCTAATGTAGCCTTCACATTACATTTCATTCATTTCATTAACTCAGCATGGCAAAACATGACATGAAATGTATAAACAAACGCATTTCATATTATAGAAAGCAACAGTGAATGCCCAATTATTTAGCAGCCTTGGTTCCCAACATTTTTCACAATTATTTTCTCCAACTGGCATTTCAAAAAACTTCTTCAGTAAATATTTCTAAGCCAGGAACAAAACAAACCAGCTCCAAGATTTTTCATAACATTTAAAAAAAATAGCAAAAATCGCAATTGGGGCAAATTAGAACAAAAAACAAACATTACAAGACCATGTAATTAAATTATTTTCAACTACACAATGACGCAATTGAAAACAAAACAAAACAAAAAACAGTACAATAGAGCTAGATAACACGTAGAATCATTAATTTACAAAAAGAATACCGCTTTTTGTAGTTTTATAAATCACACAAGGCCATACTGAAAATTCAATTGTCATTAACTTATGCAGCAATAAGACATCACATGGACAGCCGTATCCCCTCTCAGTAAACAACAGCTTCAGGAACTGTTTACACGTCCAAAAAAAAAAAGTAATGTGGTAATTTTGACAATTTACTTATTGCTTCAGTCTCTTGTGATAGATTAGCTATTTTACTACCTCATCTCATTTTAGAGACATCCATAACGTATGTCTAGTAGTAGTCCACTGCTACTCATCAATAACAGCACAAAAAGCAGCTAAGAATTTGCTTTCAAATACACTAACTTTTAGGACCCTGCATGGAAGTTTGGAAGCCTAATGCATTTGGAAACTCTTTCTCTGAAGTGGCATGCAGGGGATTCTGCTCAGTCTAACCCACTGTGAGAGATGAATGCGTTTAATCTTGCCTTCCCCAGTCAGTGTCAGCCATGTCTATAAATGGGAATGACCATCATCAACTCCAGCACAGGGCTGACAGAGCCTGCTACTCAACGCTAAACATTTGGATGCTCTTAAAACCGCCGATAATACTCTAGAAATTCATATCTCGGTATTTTTGGGCCAATTTGCAATATACGGTATATATCTCGGTATTTTCATTTTTGTATTTGGATTAAAAAAATCTGTATTTAATATATATATATATCACTTACTGCCTAATGTTGTCCAACAAAACAATACATATTAAAGGCTATGAAAACAAATAAAGTGAATGTAACCATGTAAGCCATTATATCATGTGCAAAAACGGGTTAAAATCACGTTTCATTCTAACATTGTAACATTGCAATCTAAAAACAAAAATAAGGCGTTTAAAGCGGAAGTTAAATTCACTAAGCTAAATCATTTTGCTACTTTTTGTTCTCGGTTGTTTTGCTTTATTTTTCAGATGTTTGATTCAATATACGTGTAAAAAAAAAAAAAAAAAAACTACAATGGCACAGCTATAACCACACATCTAATGGACGCTAACTAGGGCTGGGCGATATGGGCAAAAATTCATATCTCTGCATTTTTTGGCTGATTTGCGATATACGGTATATATCTTGGTATTTTCATTTTTGTATTTGGATAAAAAAATAATTCTGTATTTAATATATATATATATATATATATCACTTACTTTAGTCAGAATTATTGCGCTCCTATTTAATTGAGCTCCGTCTGTTTGGGGCGCATGCGCGCGGTGGCGCTCGTTCACTGAAGTCTGTGTGAAGTTTAGCGGAGAATCGCAAAGCAGAAGGCTCATGCACTCCTGACAGCAAAATGGAAATATTTCCATGACTTTCTAACATTTACAGATGGAGAATATACCTGTGAAATGTAAGTTATGCATTCAGGAAGACAGCACATCTCAAACACATTAAATAGCGCGAATAGCCTAGTGTCTCTGTCAGTGGCACACGCAGTCTTTCAGTCAGAGGCAGAGCATATGACGGGCCGAGCCGCTTAAACTAATATGCGAAACGAAACTATAAACTATACTGTCTTGCCAGTTTTTAAAGGCCTTAATATGCAGCTTGTCACATGTTTAGAACAAACTGGATTATGCACTTTCTCCGCAGCAGCTCAGTCTGTGTCTTCCGCTATATTTTCAGATGCGCTCGTATCAAACTACTGTATATCGATATAAACGGTATTGCCTCATATCGAATCGCTTATAAAGAAAACATCGATATATCGTACAAACTCGATATACCGTCCAGCCCTAATGCTAACATCACATCACATACCCAGTGAGACTGACAGCAATAGCATTAAGCAAACAAGATCAGTCTGATGGCTTCACACAGAACATATAAGACAACCTGCCTGCCCTTGCTGGAAGGCTTTAAGCCTCTTCTTAAAGCGAGAGGGTAGCACAAAGTCGCAGCCACGTGCCAGCAGTGCCAGCTCCTTCCTCAGATCAGGGTCCTGCCGTAAAGAGATCTCCTTCATTCTCATGCTGCTGTCGGCTAATGGAGCCAGTGTGGCAGACAGTACGCACTCCGGGGTCAGGATAATCTCGCTCAGTGACTGTCCCACCACAGGACACTCCTCTGCCTGTCTTTATCAGAGCACCAGCTCTCTTAAACGTGAACGGCAGCTGCTCGCTTCAGCCTTGCAGTAGCCTCTAATCACAGACCTGCCTGTTGCTCCATACATCCAACAGTGGCTGGCAGAGGTCATACAGTCCTGTCCTGAAAAGTCACTGGGGAGATAGGACGAGGGTGTTTGTGTGAGAGCGGTGGAGGGGGAGGGTGACAGTCGGAGGGGGTGTGGATCTGCCCTTTTCACTGTGCATTCCACTGCTCTCATAGAGGTTATGTAAAGACACAAACCTGCTCACTTGGAACCCTGTGATTCTGTATCCAGGAGAAACAGCAGCTACTAAGAACAACACAGATTAACTGCAATAGGATGCAACTTTCTAATAGATCAGCATACTTTAAATCTACAAAAGCAAACTGAAGATTAATCAGCTATTAAAAAGCATATCCCCCAAAATTGAAATTCAATCATCATTTAGTTTACCTCAAGTTTTTTTTATTTTATTTGATATGATTATTTATATGATGCATTTTGCATCTGAAACATGCAACATTAACCAATCATCCGCATGGGGTGACCGAGATGTGCAGGATATTAGAGGAATAGTGCAGCGCTCAGACCAATAAAAATAGGTTTGTTTGAAATCAATATAGGGGAATTAAAACATCTCAAAACAATATTCACTGTATGATGTGTAATGCAGTGTCTAGGCTACCGATTGTGCCAAATTCAAAAAGCATCATATGTTTAGATACTTAATAATGTAATACATTTTATAATTATTAATAAACCAACATCAGTAATAGACTTGTGCCGGTATTCGGTAATGCGATATATCACGGTAATGAATATGCACGGTACTGTTATCGTGGGCACTTCTAAATACCGTGAATAATTATATATTACAAATTATTCAGAATTTTGAATACATTTTAAGAATACTTTTCCCATAAACTGATCAAAATGCACAACACCGCTGTATGCTG